GACTCAATTTGCACTATTTCTGGCAGTCTGCAAAGGCCCTTTGTTTAGTACAATGCCCCTCGGTTCTTGTGGACTTGAGATCCATGGTTCTGAATATTCAAGGAGGGGCAACCTCTGTTAAGGTCAATGGTGCCTGCCCATTCAAGCCTATGGGGCTAGAATATAGGCTAGTCTCCGTTTTCACAGAGAGGGTCCAGAACAGATCCCCTGCAAAAACGAAGGGCCGGCTGTAATTACTCCACGTCTTTGCTATTTTCTCCCAAGAGGCTGGTGTTATCTGCATATCTTACTTAGATACTTGATACCGTTGGGTGGTGGAGTCTCCTTCTTTGGAGGTTTTTAAAGAGAGGCTGGGTGGCCACCTGTCATCGGTGCTTTGATTGAGAGTTCCTGCATGGCAGAAGGAGGGTTGGAATAGCTGGCCTTTGAGATCCTTCCAACTCTAAGAATCTATGATTCTATTCTATGATTCTATGATTCCTTCCTCTGATCTTCACTCCTCCTTCCTCTGAATCTAAATCTGCTCTGTCTATGATGTTTTCTCCAAATTGATCAAGTGGGGTGATAAAATATTGCCTTGTCTAAATTATATCCAGCAATAAACAGCTGGCCTCATTAACTTGGTGTAGTTTATTTAAGATGGAGAAGAGTGTCTCTGGCATTTCCTTTCCCTGGGTTTTAACAGTTGATGCACAGCAGGATGTGGAGCCTCCATCACCTTCTCCAAATTTCCAGATGTTGCCTGGGATGAACCAGGTTCTGCTTCTGTCCCAACAGGGCTGTCAGCCATCCCTGGCTATGGCTTCTCCTTCTTTATTTAAGGAGACCTCCTCCAGGAAAGACACAACACTAAACGTAACTTGGGTAAACCTTCATTACCCCGCCTCCAAAAAAGGAAATTGTTGCAAGTAACTATATTACTTATTTGTGAAGTCGTAGGCTTTCATGGCCGGCATCCATAGTTTTTTGCTGGGTTTTTGGGCTGTGTGGCCATGTTCTAGAAGAGTTTCTTTCTGACGTTTCACCAACATCTGTGGCTGGCATCTTCAGAGAATGCTGGAATGGAAGAGAGTGGGTCTATATATACTGTGAGACCCTGGGTATACAGTACACAGTTGACATGGGAATCACTCGTCCCTACCTAAGGTCTCACAGTATATATAGACCCACTCTCTTCCATTCCAGCATTCTCTGAAAAAAATGGGTCCCTCTCATTCTGTCATCCAGGGATTTTCCAATCCTTGACAACAACACAGCGTGTCTCATGACACACTGGGGGAAAATGTTTTAAGAAAATGATATACCACCATGAGGGTTTTTTGGAACTGTTCCTATCTCTTACAAAAATGCCAGAGGGAAAGTATTCTCAACTTTCCTGATTAATCCTTTGCCATCCCAGTTTTTCAACTGCTTTTAAAATGTCATGGTTTCTCTCTCCTCTCCCCACTTTGCCCCTCCGTCCCCAGCTTACTTCAGTTGCTGCAAACTTGAGTCAAAAGTGCAAAGGTAGTTTGCACTCAATTCACTCAGCCGGCCGGGAGCAAGATCTTGCCCTTCCTTCCCTTGCAAGCAAAAGCAAACTGCCGCATCCTCTCCTAACTCTTCTGTTCTTCCCCGCTTACAACTTTTGCCACCTTGAGCACACTCTGATGTTACGCGTCCCACTTTTCATCCCTGAAATATGGGAAAGTACAGCGAAGAGCATCATTTCATTTGAAATGTGGTGCTGGAGGAGAGTTCTGTAAATACTGCGGACTGCTAAAAAGACAAATGAATCGGCTTGAGAGCAAATCAAGTCTGAACTCTCCCAAGAAGCCAGGATGACTATACTGAGACTGTCATATTTTGGAGATATTATGAGGAGACATGACTCATTGGAAAAGACAATAACTCCTGGTATAGAAGAAGGCAGCAGGAAAAGAGGAGGATGGCATTACAGGTAGACTAACTCAAGCAAGGAAGCCACAGGTGCTGCCCAGAATTTGCAAGACCTGAGGATCTCTTGGAAGTCTCAAGTCATTTCTGACTTATGGTGACCCTAAGGGGACCTAAGGATGACCCTAAGGGTGACCTATCATGGGGTTGTTTTGTTTTGTTTTGTTAAAATTTGTTCAGAGGAGGCTTGCTATTGCCTTCCTCTGAGGCTGAGAGCGTGTGACTTGCCCAAGGTCACCAAATGGATTTCGTGGCCAAGCTGGGAATTTGAATCCTGGTCTCCAAAGTCCAACACTCCAACAACTACACCATGCTGGATCTTTTATAGGTGGGAGTTGACTGGATGGAAATTATCAACATCATGGGTAAAGCCAACATTCAGCACACACAAAGAGAAACTTTCCAACAACAAAGGCCTGTTTCTTCCTCTGTCTCTCTCCAAAACATCATCCTCTGCCTTCCATCATTCCCAGTCAGACTAGTCAAGGAAAGGTGGTCCTTTCTTTCCAGGTGCATTGTTGGTCCTTCTCCGTTCCAGACCTCAGAGCAGGGGTAGGCAACCTTTCCCCTTTAAGGGCCGAGGGACTTCAGCTCCCAGAAGCCTCAGCCATGTTGGCCAATAGTCCCATGTTGGCCAATAGCTCCTGGGATTCTGGGAGCTGAAGTCCCTCGGGGAAGGTTGCCTACCCCTGCCTCAGAGCATCCAAATTCCTCTTCTCATTTTATTTTTTCCCCTCCGATTGTACCATGGGGGGGAGGGAATTGGGCCCCCACATCATTCATCTGGCCATTTAGAGGATCTAGCCATAACCCCTAGGAAACCCAAGGTATCCTGTGACCACTGGACCACTGTTCCCCAAAATGCGGCCAAAAAACTGAGAGTATTTAGCCAACTGAGATCCAGAGTGGTGTAGTGGTTTGAGCACTGGACTGGGCCTCTGGAGACCAGGGTTCAAATCCCAGCTGGCTGTGTAAACCCAATGGATGACACTGGTCAAGTCATATACTCTCAGCCTCAGAGACAACCCTCCCCCCGAAGAAACCTGCCAAGAAAACCCCATGATAGGTCCCCCTTAGGGTTGTCATAAGTCAGAAACAACTTGAAGGCACAACAACTAATTTAGCCAAAAGCCCCAGACATACTTGTTGGGGTTCTTCCAAGCTGTTATGGGGGATCTTCACCCTAAAATGGCTTTACTTTAGAATAAAAAGCAGCCAAAAGAAAGAATTATCACTTGTAGGCTCACAGAATGGCTCTCCAGAGCCCCAGAGAAGCCAAAAAATGGTGGCAGAAGACTATTCTCTGGACCATACCCACCCCATACCACAATAGCCTTTTGGCTGAAGAGCAGGGTAATAATAATAATAATAATAATAATAATAATAATAATAATATACCTTTTCTAATATTGCCTGGAGAAGCCAGTGTGATAGTTTGGACTACAACTCTGGAGACCAGGGCTCAGCTATCAAAACACACGTCACACACTCTCAGCCCTCAAAAAAAAACCTCTGTGGTAGGATCGCCATTAGTCCAAAATGACTTGAAGGCACACAACAACCACAACAATGCTACCGGGCCTCACCTTCATTAACACTCTCTCTTACACACACATAAAATAACATCGTTCTCTGCTAATGCTTTGGCAAGGAACTTGGATTAGAAAGGGATCATTTCTCTCCATTTCATTCATTCATTCATTCATTCAATATAGATATTTCCAAATTAATTTGCTCAAGTTGAGAGGAGCCGCCGAGAAATGGGGATCATGTTTAATTAGAGCAACTGGAAAGCTTCTGGTGTGAAACTGAGTAACTGAGTTTAACTACCATGGACAGATAACTTTCTTCTCTGTAGACACAGCCGGAGCAAGAGAGAGCCCAGCGGTAGGGAGGGTGTGAGGGCTGGTTCTTGCACAGAGTCCCTCGAGAAAAGAAAACTCCTTTTGCTCCTTGCTCTAAGACAGGGGTCCCCAAACTACAGCCC